TAGTGAGGAAATATTTCCCGAAGTTCCTAAAGTAGTTCAGATAGACAATATATTTTTTTTCACATATATTCAGATATACAATATAAATATATCCTAAAAGAGTTATGTATGGTAAGGGCATCATTAAAAAGAAGTGGGAGTGTGTAGTAAAGTGGTTTTTTAGAGGTTATTTAGATACACAATATAGCAGTAATAAAATTCGAACGTAATTTAAGCAATTTTCCCTGTTTTAAAATCCATTTTATTGTGCAAAAACAAAGAAATCCAAATTCTGAGCAGAGTGATGTGTGTTTTTCTTGTTTAGCATGTGTTTACGGTTGTTTCTGACATTTATTTTTTCCCTTCGTCCAAGAAATTAAAACATTGTTAAGCACTTTTCATAAGTCGTTTTTTTTTCCTCTCCAGGAAGTTCTCCAAAGTTTAAAAATTTTTCGTTTCAGTCATGAGCCAATGCATTTGGATAGTAACTGTGGTGATTTGGTAAAACAGGAACAAATCGAATTTGGTTATTCGACACTTCGTCTTGCACCGTTACAGTATACGTTTGCTGGTCCAGAAATGTACGGTATGGATGAAACAACAACCCAGCAACACATGTATAATGACTCTACATCTCTTCCAGATATATATTTCTCGGAAGACATCATTTCATCGCAGTTGTTTAGCGAGCAAGCAAAAGAAAAAGAAGTGGAGCAGAAATTTGCAACGCATAAATCAGGTCGAGATTCTAGCTTTGATTGTTTAACAGTTTCTGCCGACACAGCTGCTTCTGTGGTTCCAGAATCTGTTACGGATAATGTTTGTTCATGTGCCACTGATGATGAAACTGAGGAGAATGGAGATTTTGGAAGTAGTTCATTATGTTCAACGACTCCTTTGCACCATCGAAAACGTAAAACATCTGCACTTCGTTTGCCGTCTTCATGTAGTATAAAGAAATGCTGTGTTGAAGAACGTCAGTTAACGGGCTTGATTTCTGTGTTCAACTCAGGCCTTAATGTTGTTGCTGATCAGTTTCTCACTCGACCAGGTGTTTCCAACGTTTCTTCACTTCAGCAGACTCCGAAGCAGATTAATTCGTTTATACATATTACTTGTAACCCATTGATCTGTTAGTTGCATTTTAATTTTATTCCATTGGTTTTTCTTTCTTGTTTAAATTTTCAATTTGTTGTCTGTTCAAGCCATGGTTTATCTAATTTTACTGTGCATTTCCAGATCTTTATTTAAAATGATTTTACCAATGGCAGTACGTTTGATGCCATCTCCTTTGCAAATAGGTTTTTTGAACAAGCCATTCTATTGAAAATAAGTTTATTCAAGAAGTTATAAGCCAGCCATGGAGGTCTTTCAGGAATGATTCTTGCACAACAATAATTTGTTTTTAAACTAACGTAGTGTGGATAATTACGTTGTTTAATCCGCATCTCTTTATATATCAGATATAATATTGATGTATTTGCAGAGTAAATGAGTGTAAATCATGGTTTTAATATTTAAAAAATCGAGTCTGATGTTGTTATTTCGAATATCTTATTCACGTTGACTAGTTTGTTATGTGCTTCACTATATTGTTTTTTGGTTGGGAAAACATTATCTTCTTATATACATAGTACCGATTTTTCAAGATTTTAGCAAAAAACTTCTAACAACAAAGCGAGTTCATCCAGGAATGATTTTTGTGAAATTCTACTTTATTCTACGTTTGTAGGTCAAGAATTTCTGAACTGGATCAGATTACGTAGGCAGAGGTTTTTGAATAGGATTCAATGAGATTTATGAGATTTTTTACCTTCTGGCACACCACTCTGAACATGGCACTAATTCACCAGATCTCATACTGCTGAGTTTTCTTATCTGCATGATTGTGTGGAAAGAAGTATACTTCAGCGCAACACTTTAAGTTTAAAAGTTCTGTGATTCAGAACGATTTATACATTTTCACATCTTGGCTTTTGAATTTTTCTTTTTGTTAACAAAAGAGGGTACTCGCATCAGTCTCATAATTTTCACCCTTTTGAAGCATAACTTAATTCTGAATTTCGATTTCATTAAACGTGTCCTATTTGATGGTGCATCTAATCTTCGGAATTTATATTTGATGTTTCAGGACGTCATTTCAGCCTTCTTTTTCTCCTTAATAACTTTCGTGAAATCATGAATTGTATTTCTCCTTTTTTCCTAAGATCGCCGCCTATAGTTCAGTTTAACACTAGATTCAAATGAACATTTTTTATTTAAAAAGTATTTCAAAATTCAAAAAATCGGGAAGCGTTCATCCTTTTCTGTTATCTTCTTTTGGAGGACGTGCTGTTCATCTTTTAGGAGTGAATTCTTTTCAAGTGCTATATTTTATACGCATCTTATTTGCATCCTTTTTACACAGTACAGGGGAGTGAGGTATCGGTGTGATTTTAGAACCTTTTATGAGAAATTAATATTCAGGATTGCACCTTCCCTACCTCTACTTAATTTTGATTTGTTTTGATATAGCTAAAGCAAAGTTTTGATTTTAGTCAGTGCTCCAGACTATGTGTTTAGTTATTTCAGTAATTGTGAGCTTAATTAATTATTCCCTCCTAAAATCCCGCACTTTAATTGTGTAGGTGTTTTCGTTTTATTCATTTCAGTGTTTTTCTGCGGTAATTATTGAGTTTTAAGCCTCTTTTTCTTTTTACTGATCCAACAAGCGTTTCTTCAGTAACGCTTGTTTCGCTGTCCTGTTTTAATCGTCCTTTTATGCATTTTGTCATCACATTCGGTAGTAATATTACAACAAAGGTTACTCTTTAGTTTTGCTTTCAGAGATATGTTTAAAGATCTTTTCTTTTCTGTTTTCATATCATTCTAAAAGCTATGTCATGATATAAGGGATTTCATTTTTACATTAAACATTATATAATTGTCCTCATTAACCTCCTTCATTTTTTCAGAAGTTAAACAACGTAAACGATTTGTTGCATCATAACACTACGATACAGTTTGTTGATTTTTAACATACTTATCATTGTTAAAATGGTGAGCTTGTGTTTAAAATGATACCAATGTTAAAAGGGAAGCTTAAATCTTATTTTTCGCGAATGGATCCGGTCCCAGTGGCAATGAGATTTGATCAGTACTTATTCGTGTCAAACTTTTTGTTAGAAACCAATCTAAAATCGACCGGAAATACCATTTTTTGGATAAATACAAGTTCAAACTAATAAAAATATAGATAGGGAGATTTTTTACAAACGAATGACTATACGAATTTATTTTGACCCAGCAGTGGTAAACATATTGATTTAAAAATACTGGTTAAGGGTGAGAAAGAAATACACGCCGTGAGCTTTGAACTATTTTTCCGCAGTAATTATTTGTTATGTACATAATTATAATTATTTATCATACGTTTTATTAAATAGAGTGCAACTGCTCAAACATTTTCCAGCAAGTTTGAGGAATGCTGGTTGCAGAAGGAGATTCAGCAAAAGTCACATTTGTAGCTTTCAACTGCAAATTTAGGAAAAAAAGGGTAGCGTGTACCGCAGAAATGCAAAACTGAAATGAAACGATGGCAATGATGGTAAAGGGTACATGCATAACGACGAGTATACCTGAAGAAGACGAAAGAACAAAGACCGAAAAAATTCACGTTCAAATGAGATTTTCAATGGGAAAAAGTCAAGGCTCAAAGTGAATTCTCAAAAAGGAAAAAAAAATTACTTTGATATACCCTCTAATTTAACTTCGAGCAATGAAGCTTAAAACCCAAAAAGTATCTAATCAATTTCCAATCGGGAATTATTCAACTTTTTGTTGCTCAAGTGGAAAATATATTGCAAATTTTATAGCCTAGAGAAGTGAAATTGTAGACAGGACAGTGAAGATGAGACGATCATTAAGAACGTCAAAAAAAAGGATGACAGATATTGCCAGTGGTACATGAAACAAGACGAAGAGACATGGTGACTTTTTATGTACAATGCAAATTGATTCAATATAACGATTACTGAAAATTAAAAATTGGAAATGATTAGGATAAGAGCCGGAAGCGTGGCTTGATTGAAAGAATCCAAAATTTCCATGCTAAACATTTGGATATTGCAGAATTCTAGAAAAATTCATCTTTCCAAAGAATGGAATTTCATTCGAATTTGAAATCTAGAAAAGTTCTTTTTTTTTTTAAAAAAAAAAAGGAAACAATTATCAAAAGATGGTAGAGAACTGTGGAAAAGTTAGCATCAATCTTGGTAGCATTTGAAATTCGTAGCAAATACGAAGTGCTAAGCGTGTTGACGTTAGAAGAATAAACGTGTGCTACGCTACGTTTGGTTAAAGATTCGACAGATTCTTACAAAGTGGTAAACATCAACAGGTGAACTGTTGATAATGCATATTAGGCAAATATATTCCGACACATTACTGAATGACTAGACAATCCTAACTGCATCCCGGCACATTAATAAATCCTAACAAACTAAGAATTAACATACGTACGCTAACTTTAACTAAAACTAATTGACATTCATGAGCGAAATGATGGGTAATTTTACTTGCGAAATATTAAAGAATGACATGGACAATGACCCGTTTCGCTCAGCTAAAAAAAAAAAAAATCCAGATAGTAAATAAATTTACATATTCCACAGGATGATTTAGCTAGTTTTCCCTTCGACGGTTTTCAATTTTGATTAATTTAATCGATATTAAAGAACTTTTGTATACAAATACAAAAAATCTTACCCATAAGCAATCACTGTACTATGATGATTTTCGAAAAAAAAAAAAAAAAACCATCTGCTAATAACTTTAACTCATTAAAATTCAAAATTTTTTCTCCCTGTTACGATATGAAAAAAAAGTTAGCAAATTTTAAAAAACACTGAAGTATGTTTATGGATCATAATGTGATTGACAACAAATACCGAATACCGGAAATAAAGCAGTAGGGAAAATATACATTATTGTTACTAAGAACGAAGAGGTCAAATAAAAAAAAAAATTAAACAGTTTGGCACTTAGACAGCAGCAGCTGTTGTAGTCGAATTCGGCGATGTCGTTTGCAAACTTAATTTATTCAAAATTTCCACCGGCACATGCTCACGAAGGATTGTATTCTCAGCCTCCAGTTGCAAAATCTAAAATTTAGATATTGCATTTCATTAATTTGACATGTCTTGAATCATAAGACTGTATCAAAAAAAAAGGAACAGAATAGTTCTTAAATACCATTAACAGATTAATTCAACTTCATCCCATTTCTAGTGATTTGTTATTAAATCTTCCATAAAATCAACCCTATAAATACACTTCCCAGTTTCGTTAAGTCTTAAGCCATAATAAAAAAAGAAAATTGAAAACACTTACGGTAGCTTCCAATTCCATGATTTTTGCTCTTAAAACATCAACTTCCTCACGTACGGCAAACATCAGATGAGTCTTTACTAAATCCTAAATTCATAATTGAAAATTCTCATAAAAATTTTATAATGTAAGCACAGTTTTTGGAATTTCGAAAACAAAAATATTAAAATCAACAACTCAGATATTTTCTAGTTTAATGTTATAATCAGCAGTTTTTTTAGTATAACCATCGTGGCATTTTGATAATCATATTGTTTCCAAATTATATTTGTATCACAGTTGACACAATTAGACGCGGGAAGCTGAATCAAAGTATATTTGAATAGAAATTTATGCATTTTAGTGATAATGAAAAGTATGAACAAAAACTTGCAAACGAGAACGTTTAAATTTAAAGGCAAAAGCAGTCACAGTTTTTGAAACCTAGTCTAGCCGTAGTCCAGCCACGTATTCATTTCAGTATAAAGCAGTCCGGTTCGTCAAGAAAAACATATAAAATATAGCCAAATCCTTTTAAAAGTTAGATTTTCCTATGTGTGAAACCGAATAACCAAACAAACAGACAAAAACTAACCATTGCCTGCTCAATTTTACCGTCGATAGCAATAATCGTATTAGCACCAGTTCCGCTTGCGGCAACAACGGTTCCACCAGCCGGCGAACTAAAATGAAGGCACAACCGGTCAAATGCAATAAGGTATCCACCACTAACTATATGTATATAAGTTTTTCGGTGAAATCTTGACAATCAAAAATTTGCATAATTTAGACATTGTTTTGAGTATTGAAAACTGCATATTTTCAACAGAAATTTGCTTATTTTGAAAAAGTATTTAAAACAATAAAGTTCACATATTTTAAAAGAAAAATAAACATAAACACCAATCAAGAAATTTTTTTGCTTTAATACGGAAATTGTGTATTTTTAATAATTGACACATTCCGAGCAAAATTTTGAATTGCGGTTTAAAATTGGAATAATGGACATAGAATTTGGAAATTTATTGGGGCCTTCCTCTTTTGGAAAGAATATGAACTGCAAATAAACTGAAGTATTTGGTGTGATTATATTGTAAAAACAATCAATCGTATTTGCAAATTTGTTAAAAAATTTTTTCGTTTGTTATTTCGCTGCTTCTGTATTTTTTTGAAATTTATCAGTGCCACACGAACTTATAGTGTCTTGCAATATTAACCAAGCTTAAAAAGATGAAGGGGAGTGCATAATAATCACCATATGAACTTCATTATTTTCACACCTGGCTACATTTTCACAGCTTATTTCACACCTTATCCTCACTTAATAAATCATTACTATTTTGGTGATTAGTTAAAAGAGTTTTCCAGTTGGAAAAAATTTATTTTATGTGCAAGTCGTTTCGTATTACAGTCAATATCATCTTTCAAAATGCCCTCCTAGCAAAACTCTGGTAGCGAGAAATTAAGCACCTTCCTTTTTCAATTTGAATTCCGAAGCTATAAAAAGTGCCAATGAAAATTTTGACAGAATTTTGAAAAAGAGGAAATAGAGGAAAAAACGATGTGACGAAAAAGTAAGTAAAAGAAAAGAAATAAGAAAGAAAGAAAGAAAGGAGAAAGGATTACTGATCTTATTAATGCGTACTGTAGATACGATCTACCAGATATTTCCGCCTGAAATCTTGAACAGTTGAACCGAATTAAGAAAAATTCTTTATCCATTCTCATTGTGTGTTATATCTTTCTCAACTTAGAGCTGTAGTAATACATACAAATAACCTTTTTTTCTGCAAATTCATAGTTGATATGCTAATATTTATCACTTAGGCGCATAAATTTTATCCATCGATATCTGTCAAAGAAGATACGATAAGCAGGACAGTACCAAGCTTTCAGGTGAATGAGACTCCAGAAAAATTGCTTGAAGTTTTGCAAATTTCATTCTTTATATTTAACCATCTTATTATAACCCAGAAGTTATTAATGAATGTAAAATGAGTACGAAAGAAATAATGACTAACCGGTTTCGAACAGATATCGAGGGAGAAAACGGAATGATGGGACAGTAAGATAAAGAGGTATGAGAGAGTGGAAATAAAGAATGAGGTGAAAAGAGCATGATATAACCTGTTTCTGCGTTTAGCTTGAATCGATCTTAGATGATGATAGTCAGAAGACTTCACCGTCTGATAAGCGTTCCCATCCGGTCGCAACGAAGAACGCCGAACACGTCCAACCATCAAGCGTGACAAAAATCTATGGGATTTTTCAAAAAATTTATTTTCTGCCAAATCTTATAAGACAACAACAAGCATGGCAATAATTTAGTGTTGTTAATAGTCACAGATGACAAGTCGAACAAATTATCAGCTTGATTTGAAAAGTCCCCGTCATAAAATATCCTTCATCCTTATATTCGACATTTGCTTCAATTTTGAAGTTATATTTAATCCATTCAATTTTTAACAAACTCAAATATATTTAAAAAAATTAAAATTTGAACAAAGTCTTATCTTAAACTGTTGTACATGCTGCGAAAGCCAGCAGGTTATTTTTACATTTCAGAACAAAACGATCATAAGGAAAAGAAATGTTAAGAATTTCAAATCCCTACTCTCTAAGTAATAAAAACAGCAACGAAATCTTGATGAATGCAAAAATCTACCAAAAGACTAAAACACAAAAGAAAATAAAACAGAATAAAAATAATATGTTTTGCTCTAACTCTACTCCTTTCGATGCATTTTTGAAAAGTTACAACCAAACACTCAGAATCTCTTTTCATAATCGTTAACAAATAAAAAGGAAATTCTAAGTTTGAGCTATTCAAAATAATTAAAATAACAATAATAACCATTTTGTTTTTGTCTGTCTTATGAATCAAAGAGTAGAACATTGTTTAAAAGCGTTCATCAAACACTGAGATAGACAAGTAATCGTATGACAAAATATTCATCGCTGAGTTCGTTCAATTTGTAATAATCGTCTCAGGAAAGATGGTGAAGCAATAAAATTACAGTTCAAAATCTTTAAAAAAAATTTAAATAAGTTGTACCTTCGGGAACTGCACTTGCCTTTCTATTGAAATCAACTGTATCAAATCATTTTTATTCAAAATCTACTATCTTTGAAACCAAACAACGTTTTGATTATGATTTTTCTGAATAAAATAAAAATGACTGTGAAAATTCAAAATGACTGATGAATCAAGTAAAATTAAATATCCCCTCTCTAAATACTACTTTTAATTTAAATAAAAAATAAATACACAAGACGAAATATAAGCATCATCAACACTTAGATCTACGCATATGAATGAGTGAAAGGAAGAAGGAGGAAGGATGAGAATATTTTCCCAACCGAAAATAAGTGTCTTATTACTGAATTATAAAACATATCAAAGAAAAAAAAAACAAGTGATAGTTTAACAATGCAACAAGAAGTCAGTCAACAAGTGACGATCGGTGATCACTAAATAACAATGTGGTGTGTACCGCACGCCGTATCGTACAACTGTAACACAAACAGTATTCACTGTTTCCTTTTCTTTTTGTCCTTTTTAAAATCTTATTGTTATTTTTGTTGATGCAATTTATAAATGCATCTGATAAAAGAACATCGAAATTTTAGTTTCCAAGTTTTTAAGTTAAAATTTACAACAAACATGCGCTAATGAGAGTGATATCGACTTGTATGGCAGATAAAAATGTCACAGAGAAAGTGCGAAGGGAACTGCGATTTTGAATAGTATTGAATTTGCTGTTTGACGATGGAATATAATCTTAAACAAATGATTTTAATGCTCATTTATTTGCATCATGTTTTCTTGTTAATAACTTCTGCTGTTTACTGTTGGAGTAATTTTAGGAATGAAAGCAAATTGTAGTGAATTTTTGTTTATAAGCTGAAAGAACTCGTAATAACAATGAGACCTGTGGTCATAAAGTTTTGCGAAGGAACCGAGGAATTTGAAAACAAAAGAAGTTGTGACTGGTCGTCTGGGGTGAACAATGAATGACCAATTAGGAGCAATCATGGAGCTGATCTTCTTATGTACACGTAAGATTGCTGAAAAGCTCAATGTCACCACTCTACAATCCGTCACTTGGTACTTTAACGCAGAAGCAGGACAGGTGGTTCATTTCATGAAGTGACTGCTAATTAGAAAAAAATCGTTGCTTTGAATTGTCTCTTTTATTCCGAGAAATCACAATAAAGCATTTCTCAATCGGACTGTACTGTGGAACGAAAAGGAAAAAGCAGTAAAGCAGTTCACAGGACCCAAATTGTGCCCAAAAATGGATAAGGCCATTGTTTTGTTTTGTGTTCAATTGTCATTAGATGTTTCTGAATTTACTTAGATTATATTAACAAAGCTGTGCTTAAGCCTAACTGTAATGAAAAAGAAATGTAGGAAATTTCCTAAACAAATGAATAATTTTTGGAGATTTCCACTGCTTTCTTACAATATTTCTGTTCAATTCAGTCAAAAGGGACCGAAGAATTAAGAGTTAATGAGAAGTAAAAGGTACTAAAAAAGAGACGGAAGAAAAGAGACATCAAACTTTATTCGGCTATCAATAAATTATCAATAAAATATATTATCCTTGAATATATTAAATGCGCAGTAAGTTTGATTTCAAAAAAGTGCGGATGTAGGCGCCAACTTAAGCTTGAAGGTTATTAGCATAGCACTAATATTAATAATAACTAAGCACTTTAATAAATAAAATGCAACTTAAATGGTCAAAACGATATCTCGCGACTGTTCACAACCTACTGTAATGCATTAACTTATCACTTATCAACTACCATTTATGATTAAGACCTGGTAGAATTGTACTAAATATAGGTATGAGTTCGTCTATATTAACAAAACACGTCTGAGAATTAGGGGTTTTGGAATCCTTAGGCAATAAGATATTTAGAGAAACTTACTTAAAAACAAGTGCTTCCTTGCTGAGCCAAATATAATCACCCAATGACATTAAACAGGTTTTGGCTGCAAAACAAGATGAAATACGAACGGGAAATTATATTTCACAATTACACATAAACTTTTTATCAAAGTGCACTGCAAAAAGTAAATAGTGAATTTGAGGGAAAAAATAAAGTATGGAAAAACGACAATGTAACAAAGTAATCGAAATTATACAACGACTTAAGAAGCATATTTAAAGGAAAGTAAATATAAATGTAAATATAAATGAAAGTAAAATAAATTTCGTCTTTTTTACCTTTTAGGCTCTTTCCTTCAATGTGATGAAAAAAAAGAAAAAAAAAAAACATGGAATGTAAAGAAAGAATAAAATGGAAATGAACTTAGTGCCTTGTCATACTATCACTAGATGGAAAGAAATTATTTAGTGATGAGATCTATGTAGAATCAGGAAGTTACAGAAAATTTGACCTCAAATAAAAGAACAGCGAAAATCGGAAAACCTCAAAGGTTTTACATTAATGGAATACAGGGACTGATGAACCGATAATGACAACGAGAAACGTCCTTCTTCATTCAGTGACAATACAAGACTGGCGAAAGCATGCTATGCTTAATATAGAACTAATCTCATATATGCCCCAGCTCTTTTTCCAGAGAGAACCGAAGATGATGACCACTTTCGAGATAATACAGGAAGAAAGGTCAGAAAACTTTTTGTGGATAAAGTACACCGAATGGACTTGAGTAGAGACAAAATTTTAACTTAAAACAGTTATTAAAACGGTATATTTATTGAATAGCTATGAGTATGCAAAAATTTCTTACAAAAGATAGTGGATTACAGCTGAGAATAAAAAATGCAAGTCTTATCAGTGATGTCAGGGAAAATAAGGAAATGAAAAGTAAGGTAAGTCGACATATGAAATATTTTGAAGAAGATAGAATAAGGCAAATTAAAAATTAGGAAAGATATTGTATGAGTGGACAAGCGAGGACTTGAAATTTCAATCTCGTGTACTTTCATTTGTGAAGGAAATGAAGAAAAGTTTGAAATTTAAATTGAAACCCAAAAGTTTGAGTCAATTTGAAATAAAAACTATTGAAAAACGACACATTAATCAAACAATTAATTAGTCGTTTATTTGACAGGATGGATAAATTAAATCTAATTAGTATAAATGAAGCAATTAATTTAATTGGACGAGATAGAACAGACTACCTACATTTCACTTTATTCCTATTAAAATGCAGTCAACAAGGCTTTAGACCAGTTCTGAGAATGAAAGCATGAAATTAGTTTGTCAGTCTGTCAATCTGCAAGTTCCAGAGCATTCATTCCCAGAGATCAGTTTTCTACGTTACGCCTAATGGGATGGGCAGTTACTCACTGACCACGTACTTATCACATTTACTCTTTGATATGTTAGTAAAAATGACTTCTCTGCATAAATGAGGACAGATTAATCAGTCAGTCAGTCAGCATCAGAGGACGAAATCATTTACATGAAAAGATGGATAAATAACGAGATTTCTAAAGGAAGAAAGTATTGAGTTATCATCGGCCTGGCAGTCAGCTGATGGTGCGCTCCCGACATTCTTGATGGATTCTTATTTCTCTGCTTCTCATCTCCATAAGCCATAACGTCGTTTTCAATAAGTCAAAGCTTTCAAAAAGTGCCAAAGTATAAAAGCCAATAGATGCTTGAAAGTGTAGTGCGTGTATATATATATATATATATATATATATATGTGTGTGTGTGTGTGTGTGTGTGTGTGTTGCTATGTATCCATCCTCATCTCTCCGCCACTGACTACTACTACAAATAAACTATCACAAAAAACATTCCAGAAGAACTTAAGCAGCAAATTTCAGAAAATTTATCTGTCACCAAGAATTTCGTAGACCAGATAACGATGATAATGCAGTTATATTCAGATTCTTTCCAACAACCACTTATACTCTCTGACTTCATACAGCTTCATTTCCATCATCAAAAAGTACTTAAGCGTATATTGATGAAATATGTTAAATTTCAAGAGGGATATTTAAATTTTTCTGACTTAACAAAATGGACAAAACTTTGCACTTGTCGAAATTAAGGTATTCTGATTTACTGCAACACTTTGAAATGAATAATTTGCTTAATCACAAGAATCAGTGTAAAGTTAATGATAATTGTAAAGTCGGTGACTATAATTGACTTTATAAAGGCAAAAAGTTTTTGTAGATAAAAAGGCAATAGTAATTGATAAATGGTACATATGATTGCAGCAAATAGAACATTTAAGATTGCTGAAACTTCACTTTCTTTGATTTTTTTTTTCTCAAAAATCTTCTTAATCTTTTCAAATGTAAATTCCATCAAATAGGATTGTCATAGTACTTCGGAGATTTGGCATCTAGAAAAAGTATTAGCTCAGATACTTTAGTTTGGTGCCTCATAAAGTTTGCATTGAGCACTTAGATATATTCATTTTATGCGATTAATTCGTTGAGAACTGCCTGAATTTCAGGTTGTCATGATTAAGCAATTTTTCATATAGATCTGCAATTTTCCTCAATTCTGAATTACAGTCGCTTGTTAGATTCTATAAAACTTTAATATTTTGAATGAACCATGAAAAATATATAATATCAGTTAAGTGCAGATTTAGCAACTCCATTTGTAGGAATTGGATTCCTTTATTGACAAATCTTTTTGACGTCGAAGACAGTAGCCAACTGATGGTTGATAAAGAAAAACTAACTGGATGGATCTTTTAAATTCTGTTTAAATTTTAATTAAAAAAAAAATGGCTGTATAAATTTGTGACAAATGTAGCCAAAAATTTGACCAAATTTGGTCAAACTCTCATATAAACTCACAAACCAAATGATGCATGATATTTTGACAAGATGCATCACTACAGAACAAGTTTGTGAGTTTATATGAGAGTTTGAATAAATAAATTCATTTTTTGACATAAACTGATCTTACATTACAGCTTTGAAAAATTATCTCTATTTGGATAAATTATTATTCGAAATAAATGGATTTCAAAATAAGCTAGAATTCAGTACTGACTGATTTTACTTCAACAAGATGACAACATACAAAGTAAAGCAATTTAATCTGCCTAAGGAGGAAAATAAAGGGAAATGCTTTGACGACCAAAGACTAAGAGTACAAGTTGTGACGATAATAAGTAAGTCATCAATGTTCACAAACTTACCTACTTTTCATATCTAAAATTTACCAACGTCACCTTGCATTCATTTCCCTTGCTGCTTACTTATCCATTTGCCAAATTTTTTCACTTTGATTTATTTTGATTTTTTTTTTTTTTTTTTTTGATAAGTTATCTATAACTTAAGAATAACACAGTAATTTTCAACATTAAAATTTAACTTATTGCAATTTGTATGATTGAATATTTTCTAACAACTAAACAGTTGTTTACTACTGGGAAATATGCACATGTTTCTATTTCATGCTAATAACCACTCAGAATCAGTTACTTGGCAAGTATTACTTTTACTTATCCAGTTACCTGTAATCATTCCTTTAATAAAACAGATCAATTCTTTAAACGTCTATAGGAAAATATGACTTAGCGTCTCCTGCTGCAGTATTCAAGACATTATTAAATGAAATGGAATGAAGCCAGAAAGATTATGGAGATTGCTAAAATATCCACAAGATGTGGATATTCTATGAGTCCAAGATGAATGATTTAGTTTGACTGTCGGACTCCATTCCACATTTCAATTAGATTCTGTAGTGTAAGTGAAATTTGCTTGATAGATTAATCACAAAAAAAAAAAAAAAAACCACAAAAAAAAGTGGCGTTCGAGTAAATAAAATTAAAACACTGTTGGAATCTTAAAAATTGTTCATATTATTTTGCTACTTCTTCCCGCTCTACCGAATTGCATCCGGAGCATATAGTTGGCTTTAGTGATTATAACATAATTCAGATTAAGGTATGATAATATGAAAAACATGCCTCTCGACCTTTT